TAGCATAGTGGCTAAGGCACTTGACTGCTAACCAGAAGGCAGGTGGTTCAAACCCACCAGCCACTCCTCGGAAGGAAGGTTGGGCAATCCTACTTCCGTAGTGATACTGCCTCGGAAACCCAAGGAGGGGTCGCTATGAGTCAGGGCCGACTCGACGGCAAACAACAACAACAGGGCTTAGCTTGTACTGTTTACAAGATACTAGGCTTTGTGTTACCATCACCTCCTCATTCCCTGCAGTAGCATCAGTGTGGGCCTGAGGCACAAAGAAGTGACTTGTGCAAGATCCCACCATTGGTTATAGAGCTTCATAAATTCTTGCTCTTGCCAGTACTCCCTGACTGCTTTCAGATCCAGATAGACCTGAAACCTAAATCTGGTCAGGGTTGAAGACAGGCCAGGCCCAGTGGAATCACTGGGAAATCTGAGGGGTGTAGGATACAGCCCCTGACAGAGTCAGAGTGGGTGACATCAGTACAGCCCCAGGGCCTGTGGGGGATGGGCTGGTGCAACAGGAGGAGGGGCCACCTAGGGAGTGGCTTTACTAGGGGTGGTGTCACCTGTCACCCAGTGTGGTCACTCATCATCAGTACCACCCCTCTATCCCCCCCATGCCCCATCACCTGCCAGTCAGGGTGCGAGCTGGTGAGTAGGCACCGTTGGGAACTTTGCCAGCAAAGTTGGGAAATGGCTGCTAACTGAGGTGCCTATATTTAAGGTGATGGGGCATGGGGGGACTAGAGGGGTAGATTGGAGAGAGGAGGATCTCCATCTTGGCCAGTGGGAGACAGGAAGCGCTGTGGAGAGGCAGGGTGGGATAGGCTGCTCTGCCCACTGGAGGGGTTTGCCAGCCAGCCCCACAGGGGAGGTGACACCAACCCTGGTGACACCGTGGCCAGTCCTGGTCGGGTTCACTCTAGAGTAAAGTATTAATGCAGGTATTTGTAGCTTTGCCTTGGAGTCTGTGGACAGCCACCCTTTCACATCTAAGCAAAGTTGGGGAATGGCTGCTAACTGAGGTGCCTGTGTTTAAGGTCTAAAAGTAAGATCTTAAACCCATCTTCCCCTCAGCACACTTTGATTGCAGATAGTCACTGTGGTGTTTATTTATGAGTCGTGTTATCATTTCCTTTGTTGCTGGTGTTTTACTGTTTGCTGACTATTTGTGCTTCTCCTCTTTTTTTATTGTGATGTGAAGGTTTATCATTTTTCTTTGAGGTTACCCTCTGATCTATAATGTCCTCCCTGAGATTAAAACAGTTCATTTTATCTTGCAGCTCTCTTGACTTCTTCACAATTTAGAAGTTCTGTAACTATACATTATTTTCACTCTTTTTGGTTTGTAATTGTCCTCCCTTGCCAATTGATGTCTCTGGTTCCCTGTTTACAATCTTGTAAGCTCATTTTACTTTGGATATGTCCATAGCTGTGGTTTCTGGGTTATG